AAGATGCGAAACGATGGTTTGATTTTCAATCAGGTTCGGTTTTGGTTTTGTGGTTGTCGTTGAGTGATCATTTAGTTAAAATGTTCGATAAGCGAGTTCCTTTCCATACCACTATGCAGAAGGTCGAAGCGAGAAAGTGGTTGCATTATAAAGAAACGTTCGATCAGTACGCGATAGACAAGCTAGCGTTGATACATCGGTTGAATTTACCTGGAGGAATTTACCTGGAATTTATGTGGAGGACATTATCAATTTGTTAATTAGTGGCATTACAATAAGTTCTTTGAACGCCACCGCACTTACATTAGAAGCGAATTCGGTAGATCAATTCCTTGTCAAAATGCGAGTAATAACCAAAAGCGTTAGCAAATTGGATAAACCCGTTCCTTTATTTAACAAATCAGCAAGTAATAAAGATACGGTATGTAAAATATGTAACAAAAGGGGTCATCAGACCAGAAATTGTTACAACAACAATAATAATAATAATGATCTTACATGTAATTATTGTAAATTAAAAGGGCATGTTAAGCAAGATTGTTATAAATTGCGCCGTAAAGAACAGGCTCAGACAGGTAGACGCGATACGACCATTGCCCCTGTTGAAACAGGAGCTCCATTGACGTCCAGAGGTGGTTCGCAAGTAATTGCAGCTGTTAATCAGCAAGAGTCTAGCATGTTGAGACCGGGAAATCCGTATGTAGCGGTTACTGAAATCAATAACGTCAAATGTAAATTGCATGCTTTAATTGACACAGGAAGCCCGATTTCTATTATACCGATTAGAGTTTTCAAGCGTTTTTTCAAACAAATGGAAGGAAATTTGCAAAGAACAGAAAACTGTTTTAAGACATTAAATGGTCAAGATATTAGTGTAGTAGGTAAAGTTAGTACCTTTGTAAAGTTAGAAAGTTTTGGAGTTCGATGTATTAAAATACTACTCCATGTTGTAAATATTGATAATATTGGTACAGATCTAATCAGAATAATTGGAAGAGATGTGTTGGATCAGGAAAAAGTAGATTTTCTTTTTCCCACACATGAAAATGCGGACAATCAAATTTTGGAAGTTTTCTGTAAAGAATTGTCAGATGTAGAAATAGTGTCAGATAAAAATGAGTTGGAAGATCTCTTGGAAACTTTGTCTACGGACTTTGGAAAAGAAATTAAACAAGAATTAATCAGTTTACTATTAGAGATTGAGAATAGTAGTATTGTAAAGATAGAAGATGATTATTCGGTCCAAGTAAATCTTAAAAACTTTACAACTTATGCATACGCGCCGCGGAAATTTGCTCTAAAAGAAAGACAAGAAATTAGGAAGATTACAGATGAATTGCTGCAGCGCGCAAACCTAGTGTTTCTCCGTACTGTGCTAGGGTTGTTCCTGTCAGGAAAAGGAATAATTCAATTAGACTGTGTGTCGATTTAAGACCGTTGAATGAAAGGGTGCAAAAACAGAAATATCCTTTTCCGCTAATCGAAGATTGCTTGGCAAAATTGACGAATAAGAAAATATTTACCCTATTAGATTTGCGTGACGGGTTTCACCAAATAAGAGTTCATCCGGAGCATACAAAATTCTTTGCGTTTGCAACTCCCGATGGGCAGTTTGAGTATACGCGTTTGCCCTTTGGTTATTGTGAGACCCCGGCTGAGTTCCAAAAGAGAATTGTTCAGGTTTTGCAACCGTTAATACGTATCGACAGGGTAATCATATATATTGACGATATTCTAATACCGTCAGATACGGTGGAAGAACATTTTCAAACTCTTAGGGAAGTTTTGAGCATTTTGAAGCAGTATGGTTTTGAACTAAATTATAAAAAATGTAATTTCTTAAAAACCAAAATAGAATTTTTGGGTTATGTAATTTCAAATCAAGGTATTACATTAAGTGACAGACATACTCAAGCTATTGATGCATTTCCTATGCCTAAAAATGTTCATGAACTTCAAAGATTTTTAGGGCTTACAAATTATTTTCGTAAATTTATGGAAAATTATGCGGTTAAGGCCAAACCATTAACAGAATTGCTAAAAAAATCGGAAACCTTTGGTATCACTGATGAGGTTAAAAGGGCATTTGGAAACCTCAAAAGAGAGTTAGTTTTCTATCTCTTATTGAGACATTTTGATCCTATGGCCGAAACTGAATTGCATACGGACGCCAATTCGCATGGTTTAGGTGCAATTTTGCTGCAGAAGCAAAAGAACAATCAATGGGCTCCAATAGCTTTTTTTAGTCAAATAACAAATAAAGCAGAAGCTAATTATCATAGTTTCGAGTTAGAGATGTTGGCAATAGTGAAAGCAGTACAACGTCTTCATATTTATCTGTATGGTTTAAATTTCAAAGTAGTTACTGATTGCAATGCAATTGTTTATGCCATTAATAAAGCAAACCTCAATCCGAGAATTGCGAGGTGGACTCTCCAGCTCCAAAATTATTCTTTCACTATAGTACATAGAGCAGGAAATAATATGAAACATGTGGATGCGTTAAGCAGAAGAATTTCCTATATAGAGGCTTTTCCGAAGACTAGAAAGAGAGCTTGAATTTAGACAACTTCAAGACACAAATTTAAAGAAATTAGCAGAGCTATTAGAGTTTTCACACCATGATAAATTTGAAATGATAGATGGGTTAATCTATAGAAAGGCTGATGATAGGCAGAGGTTTGTTATACCAGAAACAATGGTATCCAACTTAATTAGAATACATCACGACCAGTTAGCGCATTGTGGAGTAGAGAAAACTTTTCAAAGTTTGTATAAATCCTATTGGTTTCCCTCTATGCGCAAGAAAATCAAAGATTATGTTGAAAATTGCATTACATGTTTATTAGTAAATTCCTCTCCCCATGGAAATGAGGGAGAGATGCAGGTAGATACAGTTGCTTCCATGCCGTTGCAAATACTGCACGTGGATCATTGCGGGCCGCTTCAGCCGACTGAAGAAGGATACAAGCATGTCCTGGTAGCGGTAGATGCGTTCTCCAGGTTTACCTGGCTATTCCCTGTGCGATCGATTACAACCAAGGAGACTTGTAAGTCGTTGAGATTGATTTTTGATGTGTGTGGGGCGCCAAAAAAAATTGGTAACAGATCGAGGAACGGCTTTTACCTCGTTGGAATTTGATGAATTTATAAAGGAATATCTAATTAGTCATCAAAAAATAGCAGTCGCCGCTCCGTGGGCGAACGGGTTAGCTGAACGGGTAAACCGATTTTTGAAATCTTCGCTCGCAAGATCAATTGGGAAAGCAGACGAATGGGCCAAACAGTTAAGTAATGTTCAGTATATCATTAATAACACACATCACTCTTCAATCGACTCGACTCCTAGTAGGATTATGTTAGGAGTAGAACAGCGTAATCATAGAGATAAAGAACTGAGCGATTTCGTACGTCTGTTGGCGGAAGTTGATATCAATTTAGAGAAAGAACGTGCGAATGCGAGAGATATAACGTTAGAGGCCACTAACAAACTCAAGATGTATAACAAGTCCAACTATGATGCAAATCATAGAAAACCTACAAAATACAAGGAAAGGGATTTTGTTCTCATTAAAGATCTCCAAACACAACCAGGAACTAGTAAAAAGTTGAGGAAAAAATATAAAGGGCCATACTTGATTTCAAAAGTTCTGAATAAAAACCGTTATGTCATTACAGATATACCGGGATTTAATATCACAGCAAGACCCTACAACTCAATACTATCATCAGATAAAATGAAATACTGAATTAAACCGGTCAAGACCAAGGAATAAGCGAAATTAATGACTGATAATAAATAATAGGTTCTGGACTGGTTACACTGAATTAGGAAATATGTTTAAGTGTTGATTGTATAACTTACCGAGATATCTTGTTGTATGATTTTGTTTTCTTTCCTTTCACTGATTGGTGTATAATAACTTTGGCGTAACAAAATTGTTATAATTGTAACATTCGGAACGAATGTAGTGTCAGGATGGTCGAATTGTAAGAGATGGAAATATAGAAGCATACGCCATCTGGTAATACATCGTCATAATTTGATGCGCAGTCGCTGAGGAGAACTGCTCAAGAGGAGAAGATATAAAAACCGCGTGCGAGCATCGTGAGAGAGAGACCGTGACTAGATCGAACCAAGTATTAAGTAATTAACGGAGAGTGCGTACGTTTCGGTAGCGGTCGATACACTTTGTATGTATATCATTATTGGTTACGATATTGAAGTTGAGACGAGAGACGTTCTCTTATATCGTATATCAACGTGCGAGTAAACCCTGCGAGGTTAGATAAATCGGACCTTTGTATAAAAGGAAGTGAATTCTCAAAGGTATTATAATTAGTAAAGCATTGTATTGTATTTCTGAATTACGCGAGCGGTTTGTGTTGTGAAAAATGTTGGCTAAAGGAAAGTGAGTAAAGAGACAAGAAGTCATCGGCATGGAGGAATTCCTTCCAAAGTCATTGTATTAAACCAACCGTTATTATAAAGAGATTTTTCAAAGTTATTACCTAAACACATCTCTACCAAGGTCATCGATCCAATTAAGTAGCATCCCTCAGTACCTGATTTTCTATAGTACATAATACAATTTTTGACAATACAAAAAGTTAGAATGAGATAAGCATATTTTATTTCACTCTAACTTATTGCACTAGTTGTGTAATGTAGCGAAAAAGAACAGACTCACGAACACACCGGTGTGTATGAGTGCACCCAACGCGCTTAGCCAAATATTGAAGTGAAGCGAAGTGAGTGCATCCAATAGCAAGACCGTGGAGCGTGAAGCAGAAAATATATCAATTTACGTGTTGCGCATCCCGGGCTTAGCATCACACGAGTATGCGAGTATTTTATTTTGGTTTTTATGAAACTGTACATAGTCATTTCTACGTAAGTATTTAAGTTTCTTTCAAACGATAAAATGTCAAGCATAGCCGGTTATAACTTCAAAGTGCTTTACAAGCAATGAATCAAATTCAATATCACTTATAGAATTAAGATTTTATATCTCTCAGTTGGAATTATAAGCAGTGTAAAATATGATTTTGTAAGATATTCAATAACAGGTCTCTTAAAGTAATATAATAAATTAAAAAACGTATTAATATGTTATAACATGTTTTCTATTAATATAATTTGTATTCTGAATATTACAAGCTGCACAATATTGACATAATGTTTTGCATTTAAAAATAATGTAAAGTTTTTGAAAAGTTTGCAAGCACTGAATCTCAAATTATTCCTTTGTGCACTGCAAAATCTGTTATGAATTCTGTTACAGATATAATTCTATGGAAACATTTTATATATTCTCGAGAAAAACAAAAAATGTTTTATAACAAATTCCAGTCTTTCTTTCTACATTTTATTAGCTCATGATATAAATATGATTCGTTTGGCTATAATACAGTTTTACTTATATTAAGCAACTTATTGGATTTATATATGTTAATATGATATATAATACTGGCTTCCTTGCTTATATTTCGTATTGCACAAATTATTGGCTTGCATGCATTATTTACATAAAAGTGATATATATATATATATATATATATATATATATATATATATATATATATATCATGAAATTAGTTAATCTGAAGAAAACAACTTTTTCATTTCCAAAGATTACAAATAGGTCAAATTCAGGTAATTATGCCCCTTGACATGCTTGAAACAGTTAATATTAATTACAGTTTCAGTACTTAGTCTTCACAATGAAACTTTCTATTAAATGTTTCATTTAACTGAAATGTTTTTTTTTATAGATATCTGTGAGTGAATCTGATAAAACATTTAGTTTAAGTATCTGGAGCAGTAGTAGTAACTCAGATAATTATAGCAATGCAAGTGCCGACTCATCTCGTTCAGATGGAAACTTTGTAAGTAATTATATGAAGCAACTGAAGGTTGTATAAACTGAAACAACTATTTTCTATCTTCTGTATGTGTATGACTACATATGTTTGCAGAATATTTATGAAAGAGAGAATAGTGATGTCCTTTCATATTTAGGCAGTGACGATTTAAGTACACAAGATAGACTATTTGATCAGGAAGATGAATATGCCATTGTCAATGAAAATGGCAACTTCAATTTAAACCAGCATCAGCAAATTTGTTATAGAGAAAATGAACCCCATAATGGATTAAATCAGTGTGTGAGTATTTATTTAGAAATAAGATTGTACTTTGCTTATGCTTCTGAATGACTTTCTTTTAGCATTTACAATATTTAGATTTTATAAATGTCTTTAATCATATATTTATAAATTAATTATTATTTTACTTATCTTATTTACAAATGGTTTCAGCTTAACAAAGAATTTGTGTGCATAGATGATTTTTTTAGTATGAAGTTTAACTGCATTACTTTATATGTTTAAAATGAAAAACTCTTATAGCGTATTTGAGTGGCACGAATTGTAATCCAGCTGGGGTCGATGAATGACATGTATACATTATAAGCACTGTGATACATTAGACAGATGTAATGACATCATTAACTAAATTCGGTGTTTTAAGTCTTAAGCCTTGCAAATTAACCAATCACAGTAAAATTTGAGAAGAATAATCAACTGTAATTGGTCAGTTTTTCAAGCTGAAGATTAAAAACATCGAATGTAGACCGGGACTAATGAACCTCGCGTCGGTTAAAATTCGTACTACTGAAATATGCTATTATTTTCTTTTCAAAATGGAGAAGTTTACATGCAGTAAAGATTAAGTAGTATTTTTAACTAAGTCGCATAAAAGTCGCTTAGAGATTGGGTTTTGCTTTACATCTAAGCTTATAACAAAGAAAATCTTGAAAATTAGATGTTCATGTCAGTTTGGAATGTGTTTTGTGAAATAACAAACTTTTATTATTAAACTATATCATCAGTATAATTTATTTTTTTTATCAATCTGTAATAAATTCTTTTGTTGTGTATATTATCTATTTATTTATATAATCTATTTCAGATGGAAAGGCAACCACTATATTTTGGAGCTCGATTATCTTTAGATGAAAGTTTATTAATCACGATGGTTTTCATTATTCGGTGGGGATTAGAAGAGAAATCAATTGAGCATCTTTTACGTCTCAGTCCTCCAGAGAAACATCAGAATTTGATGAAGAAGAAAAACCGAATATAAAACGCAAAAGTAAAAAGAGAAAGAGCAAAGTTTCAAAGAAAAAGTATATGAAACGCGTAAGTACTTTCGATTACAATCAAGTGTGTCCCAGGGTTTATAAATTTTACCATTCTTTTTTGTTCTAAAGCCGATATTCATAGTTGTATCCTACATTTAAGACTTTCTTAGGTTTACTTTTACATACTTCGTAAGCACTAAAATACAGTCCATGCGGCATCTGAAGATGAACTTAAGGGGTTATACTACCCAGCAAATTTTTTTTTTTCAATTTTTTTTTTTATTGGCTTAAATGATGCATAAACTATCCAAGAATGATATGCAAACACTATTTTGTCGGGAAAAATTCAATAAACTATTTTTAACAAGATAACTTCGAGCGCTCCTAAACGTTTAAAAAGGCCGCTCACCTGCGCGCGGCATTTTAAACGTATTATAGCTTGTTGATAATTTTTGTCGGTACAAATCAATTTAATTTCTTCAAAATATATATAGATGGCGTTAATAAATCTCAGAGAAGCCATATTGGACGCTACAATAACCGTTAGACTGCGAATAAACACGCAGTAAACAGTTCCACGTGCTACTCCGAGTTGCGCGCTCATAAACGTTACGGTAGTGTTTATTTTGTTGTTTTCTATAAAAATGAGTGAGAAAGTGTATAAAAAAGGGACGAGAGGGTCCTCTACTCGTGCCAGTCGGAGCAGAATCGCCAATAGGAAGCCGCCCAACCGTCACAGCTTCGAAGGCGACACTGAAGATGTTTGTAGGCTAGCAAAAAAAATGAAATCTTCGACAGCAGAAAATGATACTGAAGTGGATGCTGCATTTGGCTATCGAATCATCAATTTTCTTGCTGTTTTTAGCACGTTGTCGCAAATTCTAGCATGTAAAAAATGCGGAGGTAGTGTGAATTTTTTGGAGTCGTGTAAACGTGGCCTTGGATTCAAGCTTGTTATTGTGTGTGAAAAGTGCGGGAATACAACTATTGACAGTAGCCCCTTAATTAATGGTCGTGCTTACGATGTAAATAGACGGCTCACTTTGGCTATGAGACTTATTGGTATCGGAATTCAAGGAATAAGTAAATTTTGCGCCTTTATGTGCCTCCCAAAACCGGTCTTTCAAAAGTCGTATGATGAAATCGTGCAAAGTATAGCTGTAGCAACGGACGCTGTAAAATCAAAAGTGTTACGGAAAGCTGCCGAGGAGGAAAAGAAAATTTCTGTTGAAAAAGGTCAGCTTGAGGGACTAACAGTGTCGAGAGACGACTCGTGGAGAAAGCGCGGCTTCTCTTCTCTCTATGGCTTCACAAGTTTGATTGGTTGGTTTTCAGGAAAAGTTATAGATATTTGTGTGAAATCAAAGTACTGCAAAGAGTGTGAATATTGGCAGACAAAAGAGGGCACCGCCGAGTGTGATGAATGGCACGAGTTACACGAACCATACTGTAATGCAAATCATAGCGGAAGTGCAGGGAAAATGGAGCCTGACGCAGTCGTGCAAATGTTTTCGCGTTCCGAGTCCACATATAACGTTCGATACGCCTATTACGTCGGAGATGGTGACAGCAAAACATTCAAAAGTATTCAAGATGCCAAGCCGTATGGTAATTTTGCTGTTACCAAGAAAGAATGTATTGGACATGTACAAAAAAGGCTTGGAACGAGACTGCGTAATTTAAAAAAAGAAGTTAAAAATCTTGGAGGTCGAGGCAAGTTGACTGGTAAATTGATCGATGAATTAAGTGTGTATTATGGTCTCGCTATACGTCGAAATACAGATTCAGTGGAGAATATGCGCAACGAGATCTATGCTACATTATACCATAAAATATCTTCAGATGAAAAGCCTCAACACGACAAGTGTCCAGTAGGAAAAGATTCTTGGTGTTCTTGGCAAAGAGCGAAAGCCTCGCATACGGGTGTATATCAGTTGGACACGGGGCAATTGGACACAGTCCAATCACAAGTCGCTGTTCCAAGGGACCCTACAAATGTCTCTAATCACACGGTGCTGTAATTGGCTGTGTCCAAATGCACCGTGTCCAAGTGCACCGCTCCCTCGCATACTCTCGATATATATACTCATAAACCGGCCATGCCAATGCAAGTTTTCGATGCCGTTCAAAAAATTTATGAAGATTTGACAAGAGACGATCTTCTTTCCCGTTGCTTAGGAGGTTTCACTCAAAATGCTAATGAAAGCCTCAATGCCGTCGTTTGGACTATTGCGCCAAAAGCAATTTCCAGCGGTAAAGCAGTGGTTGATATCGCCACTGACATTGCTGCCATAACATACAACGATGGTTTTCGAGGACTTTTAGATGTCATGAGCACACTTCAGCTGAGGATCAGTTCTGAATTATACAATTTTATCATGGAAACTGATGAACGTCGAGTAAAAGCCACAAACCGCTCAGCATCAAAACATCGAAAAAGCGCTCGGAAGGACTTTACATCGCTCAGAAAAGAAGCAGAAGAACAAAATGAATACTTGGAAGGACAGTTATATGGTGCTGGGATAGCAGAGTAAAGGTAAAAAAATTGCCAAGCCGATATTTTAAATATTTCATATAGTAAATACGTTTTGAAACTTTAAATGCGTTTTTATCAAAACTACATTTTTCAAAACTGCGTACACTGTAACTCGCTCAATTTTTGTCGGATTCACTTGAAATTTTAACTGTAACTTCTTAGATAAATTATCTAGGGAAGTACACACTCTTTTTAAGATTGATAAATAATTAAAATTGTTATTAACAATTTAAAGTCGATTTTTAGCGAAAAAATGGAAAAAAAAGTTCAAACTGACGCCAATTTGCGAATTTTCGATAAAAATGTATAATCGTGGGTACTTCCCTAGCAAAACTAACTAACTAGATTAACGACAAATTTTTTTTTTGCTCTAGGTGCTGTTCGGAGAATGTTATGATGTACGCAGATTCGCTTCTCGGAAAAAACACATGTTCCGTTTACCACTTGCCAAGACGCCATTTTGTATCAAAAGTTATAATAAAAAATTTTTTTATATACCTCAAAACATGTATAATAAAGCCTCAAAATTTCATTTTGATCCATTGAATAGTTTCCAAGAAAAAAATTCTCAAAAAAACGTTCATTTTTCAGTGCGCCTGGGTAGTATAATTGTAATGCAAATTCATTAATATACAAGTATTTTAGAGGTCACAGATGTGTTATTTAATTCTCGTGTATAGATTATATCCTGGTGAAAACATTTGTCATAAATTTTTTTACCAGGGTATAAGTGAGTGTTTCCTTACATTATTGAAACAATTTTGAAAAAAAGCTAAATAATGTATAGAACGAATTATATAAAATGTAGCAAATGATAACATAAGGAAGAATTCATCGTAAGAATACCCCATAGAAACGTCCGTGGAATCGAGGTGGAAGTAAAATGGAATCGACTTATTTACGTGGATTCCACGTGGATTGCGCATGGATGTTCCCATAGGATATATACTACATTTTATAATACTAAATTTACAATACTCACATTTGGTACCGAAGTGGGAATTGTTTTTGCAATAGATTTTGGATTGTCTTTAAGGCATTCCTTAAGCTTTTCCTGTATTTTTTTTTACATGACGTGGCAAAGAAGTAAATTCTACAAATAAGAATAAGCAACATAAATTTGCTTCTGTTAATAATATAAGGCAAAGCGGTTGTACAGTGCAACATTTCGAAGGCAAAAAAGAACTATAACGCCCATTACCTGCAATTATAGATTTCATTGCTTTGTATGTCTCTATTTCAGCCGTTAGAGATTTAATTTTTTTCTTCAACTGCATATTTTTGAAATGAAGATCTTCATTCTCTGAAGAAGTACTACCACTTTACTTCCACCTCGATTCCACGGACGTTTCTATGGGGTATTCTTACGATGAATTCTTCCTTATGTTATCATTTGCTACATTTTATATAATTCGTTCTATACATTATTTAGCTTTTTTTCAAAATTGTTTCAATAATGTAAGGAAACACTCACTTATACCCTGGTAAAAAAATTTACGACAAATGTTTTCACCAGGATATAATCTATACACGAGAATTAATTAACACATGTGTGACCTCTAAAATACTTGTATATTAATGAATTTGCATTACAATTTTGTTAACAGATAAGTTTTACTAACCCTAGTTCTAGGTGGAATGATCCTGCTTCTAGATGAGATGACGATAACTTTGCGAATAGATTAACACCTGTGCCTAGTACATCCACTGTAGATCTTGATATCGATGTCTCCAGTGCACCAAAGGTAAATATCATAAAGTTTTAAATTTCTCTTTCGAAACTGCTCAATAATATTTGTTGATTTGCTACTTTTATGTACTTGCTGTTTCTTTAAGTTGTTTGTATCACATAAATGTTATATATCCAATAAAGTTTCTTCATGAACGCCGTAAAATACAAACATTTCATATATTTCATGGAATACGCTTTAAGAGCTCTGATTATTTTTATATTTATTTTACATGAACATTATAAATTAAAAAAACAGCAGGAACATTTGAAAGACATCTCTAACATTTCAATAGCTAAGTGTTATACAGATTTACCTGCCAATGACAACACATCTCCCTCCACAGGAGAGGTAATGTGGTATATTTGTTATTTCAATTATTGATAGAATTTATTTCTTGTTTAATTGTCAGTTGATATCTATTTTTCACAGATAGTACGTTTTGGATCTAGAAGTGTCCCAAAATCAATGATAGATAAACTGAGACATGGAAAAATAGGCTTATTAACCAACAGCCTGACAGAAGCTGTTTTTACACCTGAAGAAATGACACTAAGCATTGTCAGAGGTAGTAAAACAAATGCCCACAAGGGCGTGCTTCAAAAGAAAACTTTGGACCAAAGCCTTGTGCAAGCTATTATAGGTGAGTTCATTTCTTATACCACATTTCTCTTTATTTATTATAATGTATGAATTCAGTTTTTCAAATTAGGAATTTATTAATTATTTTTAACACTTTAAAGAACAAATAAATAAATATTTTTACGTAATATAAAAAATACATGTAAAAATATTTGTGTTATTAAGAATATTTTAAAAATATTTCCTTAACTCTCTCTCTATGTAATAATCTTAAAATTATAATTTACAAATGAAAGATAAATATATAAAAAACAGATCTACCCCATGCACATTGTCTATTATTTCATATGATTTTTAACATGTATGATTTCTTTATTTTTACAGAGTATTGTGCTACATCCTTTAATAAATCAACCTCAGAAGTGAGTTCTGAGGTGATAAAGTTAATAGGATTTAAATTGAACAATTTTACTAAAACCGAAGAGGGCAAGAAGATAATCAAGAAACACAAATTAAGCCTTGGGCTACCCATAGATTAATCAACAAAAAAAAATAATATTGAATCATATTATTGCAATTATTATATTAGTACATTTTCTTAATTTAATTTTTTTCTTGCGGTTTTGATTAATATGATCCAATATTATTTGTATATTTTCTCTTAAAGTTCATGAAACAAATATTATTTTTCTACATTGCAAGGTTTGCAATATTTATATTTAGTTTATCACAAGTTTTGTGCTTTACAT